TAAGTACTTTTTTTTATTTTATTTTTTTTAAGTAGCATCTCTTTGTTGTTCAGGATATTCAGCATGCAGAGGAAAAATACTGTAATACGTATTTTCTGCCCCACTACATTCAGAGAATCATTATCTCTGTTAATTATTCTAACGTTTCGGTGATTTTGCTGTAATGAAAACAGAAGAGACAACAAACTGACTTACAGTAAACAAACCAACAGTTTAATCAGCGTAGTTAAACTTTATTACGAACACTTTGGCTAGTTAACCCTCACCGTGGTGGAAAACTGTGAACGCATCTGAAAGCTTGGTGGGGATGATTTAACCAGGAAGTCAGTCTGTCATGTGTTTGTAGTTTTTCTAGCCTCTCTGTCGTCTTTTTAGTGATCTTCTGAGATTTCTGATCTTCAAAAATCATCCAAATTCATCAAAGGTCTGGTGTTTTTTCAGTTTGCTTGAAATCTGGCGCCCGTTTGGTGTTTTCCAGTTTTACGCTCCTCATATGCTTTTAACAGATTTATGCACATTTTCCTGCCGCCCACCCGCCAGCGGCTCCACCAGCTTCACCGCTAATGAATGATGAAGTAGCTGCCGTGTCGGGTCGAGGCGAGCGGTGAGTCATTGTCGGACTCTCCGGTGTCCCGGTTGGGCCTCCGCACTGCAGCGCCGATGATGGATGCGTCGACACGAGGTGCGGATCCGCCGCCAGGACCCAAAGATCCTCCGAATTAATGGAGTCCGTCAACTAATAATCCCGTCGGAGGTGCAGATTTGATCGAGGGGACGAATCGACAAAGTTTTTATTATTTAGCGCAAACCTCTGCGCCTAAACGCTGCCGTGTTACTTCAGACACGAAGGAAAATGTTTTTATTTTCCACGTCACTCCTGAGCGCTCACAGCTGTCATGTTTGGCATGATTGGAAGCTTCCTCTCCCGTCTTTCCGCTGAAGGTGAAAGACATTTGACAGCGACTTCGCGGCTCTGGTTCCTCCTCGCTCCTGTCACCTGGAATGACAAGTCGTCGCTCGGTTTCATATTTTATCTTGAGTCGCCTGGATGACATGTTTTTCGATTCTTTCTCTTCAGACTTGAAGGACTATCGGCGGATTTTTTATTTTTATTTTTTCATGCTTTTTCGTGAAAAAGTTTTGAGCCAAACCGTTGCGGATGTAGACGGCGTGCTGTGAGGGGGAACAAAAAGAAATAAAGCCGCGATGTGTGTTCTACAGTAGGAATCAAAAGAAATGATTACAGCTGGAGATGTTTGCAGACGATCGGCCTCCCGTGGACGCTCAAAGGTTTTATTACATAACAAGCAGTTTGCTCTGTGTAAATGAAATGCATGCAGAGGACACGGAAACACCTTTTATATCTCACAAATAATAAAATCAAAGTTGGTGCTGCTCTATTGTCCTCAACTATTGAGATGTAGGGGTTAAATATATGATTTGTGTCCTTTTTTAAAATGATTTGACTGTAAAACATCATAAAATGTCTCCAAATGTCACCTGTTGTGTGCAGACTTTACTGTTAAGCTTAATTTATTCAGATATTTGCCTCTTTCTGTGGAAACACGTCCTGCAGTTCAACCCAAAAGTGCCTGAGTTGTCGTTGCATCTGGCGCAAGACGTAGAATAAAAATAATTTAGATAAAACGCCACCATTTTGTGACACGTGATTGGTTTGAGGACCATCTGAGAGCTGAAAACATCAATGAATCTCTTTGTTTTTACAGTTTCTGCCTCAATGAATGGTTTAATTTTGGAGATTTTTTTTAAAGAGAACTTGCACACGAAGGAGAAATGCTGTCATTTGAGGATTTTCTGGTAAAATGTAGGTTTATAGGAGAAAAAACAAAGATAAAGACGAGCAGAACGTTTACTAGTGTGTCAGACAGCTTTAAATCTTTGGTTGATGACGACTAGAAAAGTCTAGATTCAGAATATAGAAGAGTATTTTTTAAAGTGTCCCATAATATTCTCATTTACAGGTTTTATTTTTGGACTCTTGTACAATTTATTTACCTGCTTCATTGTAAAGAAAATTAAACATCATGCTGTTTTTCTTGTGCTGTGTGTTTCTGCAGCAACTCTTGATGTAAATACAAAGTCAGTGTTTTTCTGTGGGAGTTTGTGAGCAGAGCTGGAACGCTTAATCGATTAATCGTCATCTACTAAACTACTCAGGATCAATATGGGTGATTTCTTAAAGAAAAAACGTGTAAATCCCCTGATTCCAGCTTCTTAATGTGAATATTTTCAGCTTTTTTTTTCTTTTTTTTTTCTTTCCTCTGTGACAACGTTTGAGGACGTCGTCTCGAGCTCGAGCAACATTTTTCCCATTTCCTGCCATTTATAGACGAACCTGCTCATCACTTAAAGAGACAGATTATGACAATAATCATTAGTTACGCTCCTGTTTGTAAGTTTGCAGACTTTCTACGAGCAAAAATACTCAAATGCTCTTTAAACCGTCCACATCTCAACACGCTCTTCATAGATAAAACCCAACTTCTACTGTTTACCGTCGACATACTTTGAGGAATCTGCTGTCGGTGGAGTTCATCATTACGCTTCTGCTGATCCACAAAGTGACTGTACACGATATGCAAATACGAGCCAAAGTCGACTCTGCACGAATCAAAATATTCCCACGACCTCGTTAGGAGCAACGTGAACAACAGTGACGGGATCCAATTACAACAAACACAGATTATGTTTGGCAGGAAGCTGCATGCTGAAGAAAGCAGCTTTTAGGACGGGTCCGCTGGTTTGTCTTCACACCGGCGTGCTGGATATTAACAGAGAAAGCAGAGGTTGGAGGCGATCACGGGTCGTCTTTCAGAGCCGCTTTGCAATAGAAGATCAGAGAACGAAGCCACTTTGCCGTCTCGTTGCGTAGCTTCGTGACAAAATCACTTATTCAAATCAAAACCGGTCCTGTCGTGCATCGCTGCACAGCCTCCGAGTTTCCTCGCTGCCCCGCCTGCGTTCACTGCAGGCGTTTTAAAACCGGCCTTGTTTTACGGCGCCGCTGCTCATCGAGGGTCTGAGCTCCTTGTAAACGGCTAACAAGCGAGGCCGACTGACAGACAGGAGGGTTAGATGGATGGATGCCGCAGAATGGGGTCGGCTTTACGAGAGCCTCCCAGCCTTCATCAAGCTCCGAATCCTGCAAGAGCCGCCTGGCTGCTCCACGTGTGCTTCAGAACCAGAAAACGACGACCTGAGAGGCTGTTGAGGAGAAACTGGAGCGAGGCCGGTTCGTGCGGCGGCAAAAGCGAGCGGTTCTCTTTGTTTCGGGTTCAGATTCAGACGTGTTGGGACCAAGAACGATGCAGGTTGGTGTTCGAAGCAGACGTGTGTAGATGTGATGGGCGTCTCATCTGTGGGGGCACGTCAAGAAGACTTACTGTTCCCAGCAGTGTCTACAATTTATGGCAGTCCTCTGCGTCGACGCAAAGGGCGAGAAGCAGGGAGATGAATGAATTAGCAGAATGTCAGATGGAGGTAAACATGCTGCGGTTACCTCCTCAGGTAGCTCCACGGTCCCAAACATCTCCTCAAGTCCAACATGTTAAAGCCGCATCAGCCGTCTTCCCTCTTTGCAGGTAAACTCCTCGTCATCTGGCATGTTTCCATTTTTCTACTGTGAAAACGTCAGAGCAAGGTCACGGCGTCATTTGAGCCGGGATGAGTGATCTGTCCTCATCGCCGTCAAGGATGCTGTCGCTCGCCGAGAAATTTCTCGCGATTGACTTGAAGTGATTGTTTGAAGGGTTTTTATTTCGCTGGTTTGTGGGAAAGCTGCGAGACCAGCAGTAGGGGTCCATAAAAGTGGAGAAAAATGCAATTTTCTGACTTCATTAATGAAAGAAAACACACATAATGGTCGAGTTTATCCACACGCCTTTGTCTCGCAGTGGCTTCGGTTTGGTATTGTTTTGATCGTCGTGCTCCCGGTGGCTCCTGCGTTTTGTTCTATTCCACATCTACCCGTCGGCGGGTTAAAGAGTTGTTTATCGAACGATTTCACTTGCAGATGCTTTCCCCCTTTTTCAAATTTGACTGTGTGATCCAGAATTTGTTTAGGAATGCAGATTGCCTTGGAAGTGGAGTTTTAAAGTGTCGGCCGTCTCTCTCCCCTACTTTGCATTTTCAGCTGCGCGGCGGCGGCGGCGGGGTTTGTGTCGGCATTAGAGGGAAGCTGGCGAGTGTTGTGGCCCGTCGGACTGAGCCAGAGTCAGAAATGTACACAGTTTACTAATAAGTATTTTAGATTATATGGCAAGAAGTGGAACGGCAGCACCTCTGATCAGTCTTCATGAGAGCAACGATGGCGCAGCTGGTTTTGGTTTCACTTTATCTGTCATCAGAGCAAACTGTGGAGAAGTTTTTAGTACTTTGGCAGGTTTTTACTGTCTGTTGGTGGATTTTACCATCACTATAGAGCATTACAAACCTGCAGGGTGTCAAGAAGACTTTATTTTTCCAACACATGACAGGAAGTGTACAAATGAATGGAATAAAAATGCAATAAAACGATACAAACAAATCAACATCAGGTTCTAATGAAGGACTCAGAGAAGGGCTTCAATTGGTGACTCGTAATTGATTTACGTCTACCTAAACTAGCTTTTAATGCCACTGGTTGAAGTCACATGTGCTCAAATCATTTTATTACTCTAAAAATGAGCATTTCTGCAACTTCATTTTAAGGAAAGTCAACCTGAAGTTTTCCATTTTTGCAACTTGCATATTCGCTTTAACCAAATGTCGAGCGTACAACATGATTTTCACTGTTCTTTTAATTAGAATACCGCTGTAAACAGACAAAGTGTCGTTTTCCACAAAAGTAAACCGTCATCACCGAAGCAGACGGATATAAAACCGTTCTTAACTTCAACTACAGCTCAAATACTCGAAGAATCGTACAAAAATGTGTACCGAACCAAGTAAACATTGCATTTGTGTTGTCTGACATTTTCTTTCTGCTCTTGTTTTCCCAGAATGCCGAGGTGTCGGTGTTTGAGGTCAACATTCGGTTTATCGGAGGACTGTTGGCGGCCTACTACCTCTCCGGCCAGGAAGTAAGTGTGCTCTCCTTTTGTTTTTGTGAGGTTGTGGGTGAGATTTGCATTAGTTGCATTTGACGGAAACTTGACGAACGTTTTGTTTTGAAGATGGCAAGAACTGGAAATGGGTTGGTTGGTGTTTTTTTTTTTTTTTTACTTCGGAAGACAGAAAAAGTGGACTTGGAGGAAGTATTCCTCTCCTCCTGCCATCCGTCCTCTCCTCTGCTGCCATTAAGGCCAGCAGACAGATTTTGTTTCTTGGTTAAGGCGCTGGTGAAAGTTAAATCCGACCATCCATCTCTCTCCCTCCGTCCAGTCCCATCGACTCCGGCTTTCATGCCCGGCCAAGCGGTGCTCCTTCTATAATGGGAGCAGATACATCAAATATGTGCTCAGCGCAGCCTCCACAACCGCCGCCGCTGCTCTCTATTATAATTTTATTTCGATGTTCGTGCCGCCCAACGCTCGCCCATTTACAGCGTCGGCTCTTTGAAGCTCGAGCCGCTTCCCCACCCTCCCGCTGCCTTGTTTGTTCTCGAACCACAGCTGTCAGATCGTAGTGAACCCTCGAAATGCTGAAGCCACGCAACGTCGTGAGCGAGCGAATGTCGGGTAATGATCCGCCTGCGAGCGTCGGGGAGAGACGCCAGTGGAGCTAAGGCATTTTACATCGATCGCATTGACTTCTTTTTTTTTTTTTTGCGTTGAAAAGTACTTCTGAAGGTGAGATTTCTGTTTTGTTGAGAAGAAATCATTGAACCGTCGTCCTTCCACAACAAACCCACGCTGGAGATAATGTGAAGTGAGACGCAGCCAAAAATGAAGGAAAACCAAAGCATTTTACCGTTCTGTTAACTATTTAAATGATTCTAATGAAGGTTGTCCATAAAATATTTGAGCTGTTTCACTATAGCGGGGCTTTATGCTGTGTGTTCTGTTGCCAACTGAAGCATAATTTTACAGGTTTGCTTCCCTTCAAATCACCCAACTCACATTAATTTCACTCCGCAGAGCGAGAATTTTGGAGTATGTTCTCGCTCGTTATGATTTGTTCAATAAAAAAATAATTACACATTGCAGACTTGACGAGTGTTTCCTAGGAAACAAAAATATCCTCACACTCCGAGCGAGAAAGGTTGGCTGAATTAATTAAGAGCGGTACCAATAGAGACGTGAGATTGGCAAGCTTTTGATTATTGCCTCGCCCGCATGATGTTTCTGGACTTTAGCGAGGAAGAGAACACACGGGAAGCAATAATTAAACTGCAGTCTGGGTTTTGGTGGATGGTTGAGGAGAAATCGCTTAAAAACACATTTAAGTCATCTGTCATTAGTTTAAAAGCTGAACTAATGACCTCTAAAAACTATTTAGGCCCACCAGTAACACCCAACAGACATTGCTCAACCGCAGTGAACGACTGATTATCAAACCAGCCGATTATCGAGGCCGATTCTTGGCATTTCTAGATCATTGGTGTTGTTTTTTTTATTGACATATTATCGCAAAATAGTTTCGCTGCTTTGGCTCTGATGCAGCCGTCTTACTGTAGTCCTAAGCAATGCCCCGCCCACACCGCTATCTGATTGGCTGTTACGTGTCATATGTAACAGCCAGTTACAGCGATTGTTTACGCAGAGAGACAGAGAACGCTTTAGCAGAACGTGGCAGCTTCTGTGTTTAGAAGGTGAATGTTTACTGCACAAACATTCAAAGTGTAACACAAAAAAGATCCCAATAATTCACCTGGTGTAGACGTTGCTAGGCTACGGCTATCGCTAAGAGGTTTGCTGTTCCTATTATCAGGTGGCTAACGCTAGCTAGAGAACCGTAACATGTTCGTAA